CAAGCGTTTCCTTCCTTCCTTCCCCTCCCCCTCCCCCCTCTTTTACTCGCTCCATTTTTCGCGCTGCAATTCTTTGCTTTCGAACCCCACAGAAACGCTTGCTACGCAGGCTAGTAGAGACCCGGAAACTAAAAAGATCAATAACACCTGCAGAAACTCAGCATAATCCCGCACATGCTGTAGAAACCTAGCACTAAGAGAACAAGGTACCCAAAGATGCACTGCCCAGAGATCCAGCAGAAGTTAGCAGAGACCACGAGATCCCGGGAAACGCATGTACGTACAGGAAAAGAGCGTGTGGAGCAGCGAATAGTCAGGCTTTTGTTCTTTCTGTTCGAATTCCGATGACTTGGTCAGAGGAACTTGATTAGAGGATCGTTAAAATATCCCAAAAAAATCGCATAAAAAATAGAACGCAGTAGCTGCAGGCCTACGGAGGTCCCCATTTTGAAGTGGACAATTGGATATCCTTATATAGCAAACCTTTTGTCGCAATTTTCTCTGCTGATCAAAATCCTGCATACTCAGGTTATATTTCTCGACAATATTTCTTCCTGCTACAAATAACATCTGTCCAAATGTGATTTTAAAAGCTAACCAAACTTTCTTTGGAAACCAGAATTATATCTCTATCGTAAAGATTAAATCCGAAAACCGGTGAACTTTAAAACTGCGCCTCCAAGATGATGGAATTAAACCTGACTCGCCTGGACTACCTGCAAGTGCGTAAAGCTATTTTAGCTTCCATGGATACGTGACATCAAACCTTTACCGGAATTTGTCTTAGATATTCTAGGATATATCATTTTTTGTCTTCTTTTTAGGTTGGAGTTACGTCTCCCAAAACAATGAAACTACTGTCCGGTGGAGGAAAACGGGCTGCGCAGAAGGTGAAGGATAGATCAAGAAATTACATCGTTTCTTTGACGATTTTAGATTGAGTTATAATTAGCGTTAAAGAAATTAAAGTAGATTTGTACTAGTATCGTTTATTATCTAACTGAGAGAGAACAGAAGGGCACAATTATTGAGCAAAAACAACAAATCAAACTCACTACTTGTACACAAATCTCTGTAGGACTGTGCTTCTTTATATTTGAATTGAATCTCAAAAACCTTTCATACTGTGTCGTAAAACTACCAGTGACAGATCTAGGTAAGGGCCCTTGGGAGCTGACCTCCAAACTCTCTTGCTGCAAGATCCAAAAGTGTTACCAATTTTACCCGTCTCCCAGGTTATTGGAACTGAAAAAGACCCTCTCAAGCAAGAAAGGATCCATATTGACTTAACACTTGCAGCCTTTACTTCTCCTTGAGCACCCGAGGGGAGGGGGTACTCCCTTATACGGGCTATATAGGTATGTGCAGCCCCAAAGGGCATGGTTTCCTAGCCGTTTTGGTCAGAAATAGTGTATAGATTTTGGCCATTTTGGTCTCAAACAGGGTATGGATTTCGCACTCTAGTCTTGTAATTGAACTGGTTATGTTTTTAGAGCAAGCTATCCTACCAAATAAAAGAATATAAACATTGTCTTTAACATTGATGTAAACTAGGGAACTAATTAAGGGCAAGTCTGGAACAGGGTACTGATTTAAGGGTCAGGTCTTAAATAGTGTATCAAAGTTTTGGTGAGGTCATAAATAGGGTAGGGGAAATCACAGATTTTGGTCATAGATAGGGTAAGGGTTTTGGGAAGTGGGCTGCACACCCCCACCCAATTTTTCTGGGAGTACCCCCCTCTGGGTTTGAGCAAGCACCTCTCAATCTAATTTAGCACAGAATGGAGGAGTAGTTTTACTTTTGTCTACTTAAAGCATGCATACTCTAAGATGAAGCACATTGTTCTGTTGTATAAATATCAACGGCTTTCACTGAACAAAATGGTTGGTGTTTTTTTTTTCGTATATACCGACAACCAGGTTGCAATAGCTGATCAGGATGGAGTGCTGACATGTTTCGGAATGAAAAAGAGTACTTCCCAGGTTAGTCAAACTATCCAGAGCCAAATACTGTAGTCGAGCTACTGTAAATTATTTTCAATGATCCCTGTTCACTTCTGGTTTGTAAACCCTTTCAGTCATAAATGTAAAATATTTAATATTCTTCATACCTTTTAGTGAATTTTGGATTCTATATTTAACCTTGGCCCAGGTCTTTTAGTTGAGTTTTTAAGCAAGATGGTGTAGTGTTAGTGCATATGTCCTTCTTCTGGATGAGCCAAAGGCATCCACAAACACCACTTTTTCCTGTTGTGGTCCAGCTGGATGAAATTTATGCAAACCAGTTGTAAATGACATGGAGACTGTTACTAACTGTTTTGAGCTCAGGGGCCTTCTGGGTTGCATTTCAAGTTGTTGGACGTTTATGCTTTTACGGGTGTGGTAACCTTTGGCTCTTTTGGGGTCTATTTTGCCTCAATAATTTGTACCTCTCAGCTTAATTAGCAGACTGGAGTACCTTGCCCTCCCCCCCCCCCTTGGGAACTATTGTAACAGTCTTCCGACTGAGGTCTACTTTCAATGGGAGGTAGCATGGTGGATTTGGTTAGGGCACCAGCCTTGAAATGCGAAGGTCGCAAATTCAAGTCCCGTTCTGACCACCAGTTGGTGTTGTTCTTGGTAGTCCTGAGTTCAACACCTTGATCATGCTTGTAAATAGCCAACTGGTCTGCTTCCTGCCAGCTGGGATTCTTAACCATGTTATGTTCATTTACACTGTATTTGTTTTGTCATTTGTTTCTAGTGACCCTGAAAAACCTCATTGGGGGGAGTGGTCAATTAAGATAATTTTTTTTACTTTGCTACTGTGCAGGTCGCATTCAAAACACTTCCTGGTTCACCAATCTCCAAGTTGCAGCTTGGTGGACTGGACGGGCCTTCTCAGGAGAAAGTCTTTGTAGCAACAGGGGCTGAAGTGCGTGGTTACACTAAGAAAGGAAAACAGTTCTTGGGATTCGACACTAATTTGACAGAGAGCATCCAGTCCATGTAGGTTTCACTTCTCTTTCACATTTCATGTCAGTAGGTATTTTGGTCTGAGTCCTTCCCCTCCATGGAAATTCCAGCCTTACTTCATACTTTGGCTTTCGGCTTTGGCTTCCCCTATAGAATTTCCAGTAGATGGCTTTGGCTAATGTGTTTACGTCCTTGTTGCCACCTAATTGAGACCCTGTGATGATCCATTTGGGAGGTTAGAATAGTGCAATTTGTCACACACAACTGATTGCATGGGCGTATGTACAAACAGAACAATTGTAACCTCCCAAATGAATCATCACATGCCCTGAATTGGTTGACAACAAGCATGTCAACACATTAGCCGAATCTGTCTATGACCTTTCTTGGGGTGGGTACGGATACCTGTTGTAGGTCAAAATGAAATTCATGTTAAAATGATTTTAACCTAGTTTGATCCTCAATTTCCTTTGTCTCCTAACCCTAATTATTCATGATGCATGAATAATTAGGGTTAAAGGACAAAGGAATTTCATTTTAACCTGAATTTCATTTTGACCTATAACATATATTATCTGGAACCATGCATTAGACAATTGCTTAGGCATCATCTTAAAAAATTGGCAGTGTTCAAAATTTGCTTGTAATTAAACCGACTTGCCTCTAATAAGGTTTGTCAAAAAATTATTGTAATTAAAATATCCAATGATCTTCCCTGGGGTAGATATGGATATTTTCTGGAACCATGCGTTACACATTTTCTAGACATCATTAGTAGTAGAAAATTGACAGTGTTAAAAAATTGATTTTGACTAAAACTAACTTGCCTCTTATAAGAGTTTAAGTTTGTTTGGCTGGAAATGGGCTGTACATTTTGTAACAATTTACTATTAATAATTATTTTGTGGGTAGGTATGTCAGTGGAGCTGATCTTTTCCTCTGTGGAAACTATATCTACAATCATTACCGAGACTGCAAAGATGAAAACTATTTCCTGTCTGGAGATAAGATCACTGACGTCCTTTGTCTACCATCAAAAAAGTAAGATGAATGTTATAATTTATATTAACTGTAGCTCATGGATCAAGTCTTTATTTTTTTCAGTGGATTATTTTGTGATCATAACAATTTGAAACAATTCCAGAAGCACAGATGCATTAGTTCCTGTTCTGGCTTGTCAAGATAGAGTCCTAAGAGTTTTACAGGTAACGTCACAATTGGGAAAATGTAATGCTTGTTTTGCTCACTATTTTCAGTTTAATGGTATCAATGAATCTCTATACATGTATATTTATTTTTCAAGGCTGGACACTTCCTTATACATGCAGCTACCTATGTCATGTATTAAATTGTATTGTAAGCAAAGTAAGGCAAACTTCCTGTTGTATTGTAGTGGTTTATTTTGCCTTTCAACCAAGTCAAGTAAAGCTATTTGACATTGGTGATATTTGATGCTTAGAGGCAATAGGTCTGCACTGTTTCTGCTGTAGAGTATTGTGCACTGACAGCCAGTCAGTGTTGACCTTATCAATTCTTACTGTCCAGCAATCAATTGGAGACAATATAATTGGTGTCATCTATGTTAAGCACAATATAAATTTAGGGAATGTTTCTTTTAGGATTCTGATTTGCTGTATGAGGTTGAAGTTGCAGGACCCCCTCTGGTTCTGGCGCTACATAATGGGAGTGGAGGTGAGTGACAACATGTATTTAAGGGGCTCCATATATATCATGAGCCAGACTTTGAAATGCCAAAACCCAAAAGATGGATTTTCAGTTTTAATCTCTTTAATGAGTATTCAGGGCTCGGAAAAAAAAGAAAAGAACTTGAAATCCAGCTTGCCCTTCGGACAAGTGACTCTCAAATTTTGCTTGCCCTGAGCATGTCTTACTTTTTTTACTTAGTCGGGGGATGATTTGCTGGGGCTCTTGTCCATTGGGCAAGTGAGAACAAAAAGTTACTTGTCTGGAAGGAAAATCAACTTGTCCTGGATGACCAGATGGCACTTTTTTTGCACCCTGATTCCCCCACCTTAGCCTCCATAAAAATGTTGCAAGCTATTTCCAGTCCAATACTAGAATACAAATATAGCATAAAACATGTAGGCTGTGATGGTTGAGTGTAACACAGCATGCTTTAAATTAATAATTATCTTAGCTGAGAAAAGTCACAAGGTCCATGGTAACCTTAATAAAAGCATTGATTAGAGCTGTCTGAACTTTCTTTTAAAAAATTAATTTTTAAACATTTACAGGCTCTGACAGATATACCCAGGCTTTGACACAACTTTTTCACATAGTCTGTTTTCACCTTCAGGTCTGTCTGGAGAAGAGGTTTTGTATGGGACATCTGATGGAAAAATAGGCTTGATTCAGTTAGGAAGGCAAGTTGAGAATTTACTCTAAATGAGTACACATTACTATAATGAATACCCCGGAAGGAGAGGGGCACTCCCTAATATGGGTTATATAGATATGTGCGACCCCAAAGAGTAGCTGGTTTTTAGTTTTTTCAGTCTGAGAAAGGGTATAGATTTTTTCCCAGTGAAGACCATTTGCATCTGCATGACCCAATGCAAAGATATGTTTTGGCAACTTGAGTTCACTGATGCCATTTTAAAGTCAAGTGAACTTCTACCCAGCGTTCAAACTGTCAAATGCTGTGACAGCAAAGATACTCAGGATGTTAACTCACAAGTGACTCGTATGCAAAATGACTCACAGTAATTTGCGTGCTCTCTGAACTAGTACATGTACTACTGAATTAAAGCAAAATGTATGTTCTTCCATGTTGTGGTCTCGCCTAAACTAGACTATGTTATCCTGATTAGGAAGCTCTACATGTTTGTAAAAATTAAGTGTGTTTGCTTTTAAATCTCATAGGCATTCCCCTAACCACAAGTGGGAGATCCCCAATGACAAGCGAAATGGAGGTAAGTTAGAAAAGAATTGTTATTAATGTTATTTATGATTTAGGTCTCTATGTTCTGTTATATTTATCAAACACAGGAAACAGTGTGAAACAGTCTGTGACATGTTTAAGATACATTATGTTCTCCATCAAATGTAAAACTCAGGAGTAAACAGAAAAATAAAATTAATATTAATCAT